ATCCTGCAGTCGCTCCCTGAGCTGTATAAGGGTTTTGTCATGAACTACATGATGCATGATCTTGACAAACCCCTTCCGGAGCTTCTTAAAATACTCCAGACTGCAGAGGAGAACCTTACTAAGGGCAAGGGTGCTTCCATCCTTATGGTCCAAGGCGGAAAGGGGAAGCCGAAGAAGGGGATTAAGATTAAGGCTAGGACGGTCGGAAAGCCTAAATCAAAGTCCACTTTATCTGCAACCCAGAAACCTGTAGGAGGGATTGCAAAGGGCAAATGTCATCACTGTGGTAAGGCAGGCCACTGGAGGAGAAACTGCAAGACATACCTCGCAACCAAGAAGAAGGAAGGTACGACCATTTCTTCTGAGGTGTATGTTATAGAAGTTAACATGTCTATATCTTCATCATGGGTACTAGATACTAAATGTGGGTCTCATATCTGTACTACCATGCAGGGACTGAAGCAGAGTAGACGGTTAGCTCGAGGCGAGATTGAACTCCGAGTCGGCAATGGTGCACCTGTTGCAGCTTTGGCAATCGGAACTTATAGTTTAGTCTTTCCTAGTGGTCTAATGTTGGAATTAAACGACTGTTTGTACGTTCCTGCAATTAGCAGAAACATTATTTCTGTTTCATGTCTTGATAAGAGTGGTTTCATCATTTCTATTAAAGACAAGTCCCTTTCCATTTACAGAAAGAATGCTTTCTATGCTAATGCCAACATGACCAATGGGTTATATGTCCTTAACTTGGACATGCCTGTCTATAACATATCAGCCAAGAGGAACAAACCAAACGGTTTGAACCAAACATACCTATGGCATTGTAGGTTAGGCCATATAAACGAGAAACGCATATCCAAGCTACATCAGTCGGGAATGCTGGAGTCATTTGATCTTGAATCATATGACACATGCGAATCTTGTTTATTGGGTAAGATGACCAAATCTCCTTTCACCGGACACGGTGAAAGAGCTGGTGATCTTTTGGAACTCATTCATAGTGATGTGTGCGGGCCTTTCAACACAACTGCACGAGGTGGTTATTCATACTTCATCACATTTACTGATGACCTCAGTAGATATGGCTATGTGTATCTCATGAAACACAAGTCAGAATCCTTTGAAATGTTCAAAGAATTCAGGAATGAAGTTGAAAAACAACTTGGCAAAAGTATTAAAACACTACGATCCGATCGAGGTGGAGAATACTTAAGTGGTGAGTTCGATGACTATCTTAGAGAGCATGGGATTTTATCCCAACTCACACCTCCTCGGACTCCACAATGGAATGGTGTCTCTGAAAGGAGGAATCGAACCCTGCTTGACATGGTTCGTTCTATGATGGGTCATTCGACTCTACCAGAATCATTCTGGGGGTATGCGCTGAGCACTGCAATATATACTCTTAATTGAGTTCCAACCAAGGCGGTTGAAGGAACATCATACTAGCTATGGACGGGCAAATGCCCTGTTCTGTCACACTTAAAGATTTGGGGCTGTGAGGCTTACGTCAAACGTCTTATGACGAATGGCAAGCTTGACGCCAAGTCTGATAAGTGTTTCTTCGTGGGATACCCTAAGGAAACTCGTGGGTATTCATTCTATCACCCTATCGATAAGAAGGTATTCGTTGCTCGCAATTGTGTCTTCCTCGAGAAGGAATTTCTCTCTAACGCAACTAGTGGGAGAAAGATAGAGCTCGAAGAAATTCGAGACGACGAAGAAACTACCGCGCCGGTTCAGGAACATGAGCTAGAGGAACAAACCATTGTACCTCAAAATGCTCAAGATACACAAGAACCCCGTAGGTCTAACCGGTTACGCACACAACCTGAAAGGTATGGATTCATCCTAACCTTTGAGGGTGACGTAATGCTTATCGACCAGGATGAGCCAGAGACCTACCTCGAGGCAATTAGTTGTCCCGAGGCTGAGGAATGGCGTCAAGCCATGCAGTCCGAAATGGATTCCATGTACACCAACCAAGTATGGACTTTGGTTGATGCACTCGAAGGGATCAAACCCATTGGGTGCAAATGGATCTTCAAAAAAAAGACTGACATGGATGGTAAGGTACAAACCTTCAAGGCACGATTGGTAGCAAAAGGATATCGTCAAATACATGGTATCGACTATGACGAAACCTTTTCTCCAATTGTCATGATTAAATCCATTCGAATCTTACTTGCTATCGCAGCATACCACGATTACGAAATATGGCAGATGCACGTCAACACGGCTTTCCTTAATGGAAACCTCCTTGAGGATGTCTTTATGACACAACTTGAAGGGTTTTGCGCTCCTGAAGAATCTACCATGGTATGCAAGTTGCAGCGATCAATCTACGAATTGAAGCAAGCCTCACGGAGTTGGAACATCCGTTTTCACGAAACCGTCATCGGATTTGGTTTTGAAAGAAATTTGGATGAATCTTGTGTATACAAGAAGGTCAGTGGGAGTGCTGTAGTCTTCCTTGCTCTGTATGTTGATGACATACTGCTCATAGGAAATGATATTCTTACTTTAACCACCGTCAAAACGTGGTTGAGTAAGAGTTTCTCTATGAAGGACTTGGCTGATGCCAGTTATGCACTTGGCATAAGGATCTATAGGGATAGATCACGGAAGCTGTTAGGTCTCAGTCAAAGTACATACATAGACAAGGTCCTCACTAGATTCAGCATGTCTGAATCGAAACGAGCAAGTTTGCCTATGGTCCAAGGCACGAGTCTTTCTAAGACTCAGGGTGCTTCCACTCCAGAGGAAGTAAAACGCATAAGAAATGTTCCTTATGCGTCGGCCATTGGATCCATCATGTATGCGATGGTATGTACGAGACCTGATGTCGCCTTTGCTCTGAGTGTCACGAGTATATACCAATCCAACCCTGGCGAAAGCCATTGGACGGCTGTGAAGAACATCCTTAAGTACTTTCGTAGGACTAAGGATGCCTTCCTGGTATATGGCGGAAAAGAAGAGCTCAGTATTGTTGGATATACTGATGCCAGCTTCCAGACTCATAGAGACGACTTCAAGTCGCAGGCAGGGTATGTGTTTTGTTTGAATGGCGGAGCTGTTACCTGGAAGAGTTACAAGCAAGATACTACTGCTGATTCCACTACAGAAGCAGAGTACATGGCTGCAGCCGAGGTAGCCAAGGAAGGTGTGTGGCTCAAGAATTTTATTACTGAGCTTGGAGTGGTTCCTAGCATCAAGAACCCTATACAGTTGTTTTGCGACAACAATGGGGCAATTGCACAAGCGAAAGAACCTAGGTCTCACCAGAAGACCAAACACATCGTTAGACGTTATCACATCATACGAGAAATCGTTGCACGTGGGGACGTTGAATTTGCAAGATAGGTACAGACGACAAGATCGCGGATCCGTTGACGAAGGCTTTGGGAAAGCCTAAACACGAGAGTCATACGTGGTCCATGGGCATTCGAGAAATGCTTGATTGGCTTTAGGGCAAGTGGGAGATTGTTGTATTTAGGTGCCCTAGCGGCAATCAAATACCTATGTACAGTAATGTGTTTATCAGTATTCTCAATTCGACCTTGCTATAACTATCCTAAGACTTGAAGTTATTACATTCTCTGATATGTGGGGCCGTATACTTTGATTCATAACTAATTCTATCTGAAATACAGGTAGACGTACAGTTATGCGTTGGGTATGCCGCTAAGCATATTTGGAGATGTGAATAACAGATATAGGATCTGTCCCTTCTACTGTATAGAAGTATAATGTCAATGGGCCCACTGAATAGTAGGACTTGGGAAAGTGCATGGCCATGCCCAGATATGTCGCTATCCAGAGACTGATAAATATATTATCCCTGCGAGTCTACTTGAGATTCAGTAACAGCTGATTTAACTATACAAAGATACACATCCCATGCCTTTTGTTAAATCATGACATTTAGGACAGAAGGATAATAGTTATAGAACGTCTTGTGTCGTAGAAGGTATTGATGAGATGAACGTCTTTTTCATAATCTGGGGGTAATAATGTGTTGTTAGATACCGCTTATTATCTATGGTATTAATTTATATTAATTTAATTGTCAGTGTTATGGATACCTAAAGAGTCACACACTTAGGACTTGGAAGGGAGTAGTATGCTACACTAGTGGGAGTAATATTAAATATATAGTTGTGAAAATTATATATATATAAATATATATATATATATATACATATACATATATATATATATATATATATATATATATATGTTGTGGGAGATGTGTCTTTCTCTATTGATAATAGCTCCCCTTATATAGGAAGAGCTTCGTAGGGTTTTACAAAAGAAGGCCCACGGGCCAGTACAACTTATTACACAATATAAAGCAAATTCTATCTACACAACAGCACACTAATTTACAAATTCCTTCAACACTCCCCCTTGTGCTGAGCTGTAGGTAGAATTGCAGAATCTTGATCTCTTGTCAAAATCTCGTCAAGTGTCAAAATCCTGTGAATAAAAATCTTGAACAAATAAAGAATACCGATCCTTACTTCGATCGCTATGTTCATGCATATTGTTACCTCATTAAAAACCTTACCAAGTAACAAAACCCAATGGGAAAAATAAATCTTGGTTTAAGGAAAAGAGTGTAACATAAAATAAAAGCTAGACCTTGAATATTCAAATCTCCCCCTGAAGTGTGCATGATCAAGGAAGATCTGAAAGTCTACGCATCCCAATATTTTTAACATGTTTCTCAAATGTGGCTTTAGGTAATGATTTGGTGAATAAATCTGCCACATTCTCCTCAGATCTTATTTGATTTACTTGGATCTTGAGGAGAATTTGTTGTTGTTGATTATAGAAAAACTTGGGAGAAATATGTTTAGTGTTATCACCGTTGATAAATCCAAGTTTCATTTGCTCGATGCAAGCAGCATTATCCTCGTAAATACATGTGGGTTCTTCAGTGGTTGGTCTCAAGCCACTAGCCCCGCGAATGTGTGTAATGATAGTTTTTAACCATATACACTCGCGAACCGCCTCATGTAGAGCTATTATCTCTGAGTGGTTTGATGAGGTGGCTACTAGAGTTTGCTTGGTTGACCTCCACGATATTGCACTGTTACCAACTGTGAATACATAACCAGTTTGGGAACGACCCTTGTGTGGATCAGATAAATATCCTGCATCAGCATACCCAATTAGTACATCATTTGGTGTTTCTAGATTTGAGGATAAACTTCCTTCTTCAACCATTTTCTTGGAATTCGCAGCTTCCCTTGTCCTTTTGTAAGGAAAGAATAGTCCCATATCACTGGTTCCCTTTAAATACCTCAAAATATTTTTGATACCGTTCCAGTGACGTTGCGTTGGCGCAGAGCTAAATCTAGCTAACAAGTTCACTGAGAATGCTATATCCGGCCGAGTACACTGAGCTAGGTACAATAATGCACCTATGGCACTTAAGTATGGAATTTCAGCTCCTAATACCTCTTCATCCTCTTCCTTTGGACGAAATGGATCCTTTTTAGGATCTAAACTTCGGCCGACCATGGGAGTGCTAGCAGTATGCGCTTTGTCCATGTTAAATCGCCTGAGTACCTTTTGGACATACGCAGACTGGTGGATTAATATCCCACCAACTCGATGTTCTAGTTCAAGGCCTAAACAAAATCGAGTTTTCCCAAGGTCTTTCATCTCAAATTCAGATTTCAAATAATTTGCA